TTCTTGTCATGTTGCTTAATGCAGTACTGGAAGGCATGCAGATACTACAGTAATGAACCTGGTGTAAAAACCTATCAAAACTAAGTTAAAAAAAATCTCATAGGAAAAGCAGAAAGCAATCACTAGGTGTATTCTCTGTATAGCTTGATTCAAATATTCTTATGTACTATAAAGTTCAGCCCCAATACCATGATTTAATAATCTACAACATACAAAGTTTTCCTTCAAATTAGCAACTTTGATACATCTTAGGTTATCTGCCTCCACCATCTCTTTTTTTAAAGTCCAGCATATTGCATGATGGGATAAGAAACTCATTACTCATTAAAAAGGCATAGTTCTATGCATATTAACTTTATCACTGTGACTTCTCCATTGTTAATGCATGTATTGTTACTAAAAGAAATGTTTGCACCCAACTGTCTTTCACAGACAGTGAAATTGAAATGGTTAAATATATCTTACATTTAATGTCACTTGCCTGTTTCCTTCCTGAATTTCAATTAAAGACTTCTGCAGAAACTGAAGAACTGTCAAAAGCAATTAAGAAAAAATAGTTTAAAGAACAAAATATTAGCATTTCATTCTGTTTTTAAACAAAGGAAAGCTTAATTTAAGTCGGTTACAAATATACATGTATTACAAAAAATGACCTGCCAAATTAAAGCAACATTACCAGCAAAAACAAATCAATCAAGTTTGAACTTCAGAACAGTCTCATAAGAGCTGTGTTTAAAAAGAGGGTCAAAAAGAGGTCATGTGGAATGTGTAATTTTCCAGGTCTGTGTAACCCCTGCGCTAGTTAAAGAAATTAAAGAAATGGTTCCAAAGAATCTGCAGCATGCCAGAGGAAAAGATCTCATCCAAACACAATCTGAAATAACTTGGGTCTTCCAACCCTTCTGGCCTTAAACTGACCTTTCATCTCCATAAGTGCCTAATCAAACAAGATGCTAATGGGATGTTTAACACGGCATAGTGCACTACCATGCTGACATACCCCAAGCTAGCTGTGAACACACTAGCTTGCTTACCGATATCTATTTGGAAAAAGGCAGTGCCATAGAGATTTTTTACGACAGTTAGCTCTAGAGATGCCAGTGTGAGACTGTGCTTGGGCTAGCAAGTCCTGCTCCAAGCACAGCTACTTAATCTTTGTGTAACCTTGCTAACATGACTATTCTGCTTCCAATTCCAGAGCTAGCACATGCAGTACCAGCTTGAGTATTTGCAGTGCCACCCTAAGCCAAGTTAACATACCCTGGTCTCAGATTCCACTGAGAAGCTGAACTGAAGCTAACCACAAGTGATGGTTTTCAGGACTTCTCAATCTGACAGTAAGGGGAGGATGGGAAGGGAGAGGAAGGAGGTGAAGAAGCAGAAACCTGACCCCGCACTGTCCCAGTCACCTAATGCCCCAGCCACTGCTTTCTCTGCTCTATCAGTGGGAAGGAGATGGATTTAAGAGAACCCTCCAATAATTAGATTCTATACCTGGAAAATTATACCAAATTTATAAATATTCTATATACAGAATCTAATTATTGTGGGGTTATCTTAAATTCAGGGGCAAATCAGATTCAAGTAAATACAGTAAATACAGATTCAAGAAGGTTCTAACAGCAATAGCAACACACCAAAGTAGACTAAAAATGGAAGATGCACCCAGGTAGGAAAAGCATGAGAAACCACTGTGTCAAACATTAGCATGGAGAAACACCCTAATAGAAATGATTCTCACTACACCTGTTAACTAACTAGAGTTGTTTAAAAATTGTTTTCACTGGCTGCAACTACATGAGACCCCTACTGCACAGTAGCATTGTGGGGCACTAACTGTGACGCAATACTAACGAGCTACTGCACAATTGTAACGAGCTACTGTGAAGTCAGTTTTACCCGGAAACCATGGAGGGACACTACTGCGCAGTAACACCAGTTACTACACAATCATTTAGTACTTGGTTATGCAAGTATTAAATGACTGAGCAGTAATAATTGCGCAGTCAGCGTCTCGTGTAGACGTGGCCACTGTTGGCTTGTAATTTCCCCAAAAAAAGTCAGAGTGAGGCTTATGCACACTGCTTTCAGCTAGTCTTAAAACTGAAACCATATCTGCCACATTCTAACACTTAATGCCTGCCTTATGCCATTCCCAAGATATACAAACACATTCATTTTATTATATCTACTAAATAAATAACATGACCATACCTTCTTTGAATAAGCTGTTAACACCTGCTTTACCTATGTGGAGAGAAAGTACATTTCAATGACACTACATCAGAAGAGAAGGAGAAAGTCATTCCTAATTAACTGACTGAAAAAAAAGGTAAAGGTGAAACCAAAACTCTTAGAAGCAACAGTTAGCTTCAAAATACAACTAAATTCAAACTATAAACATACCTAGACTGAAGTTCTCCATACAGGAAGCAAGACTGTCCAAAACTTTTCTGTATGAGTATATGTCTGTAGTTTCTAGTTCTTTTTTAAGGCAGCAAATGAAACTCTGCACAGCTTCTGTCATAAATGGTTCCGGAAGGCCATTTAGTGAACTACAACACAAAGAGTATCATCAGATTACTGCAAACAAAATTGCTGGTTTAGTGACAAACTTACCGTTTATCCTGCAATCAAAAGCCATGAAGACAGGCCCTTGCACAAGTATAAACTATAATCTCCTTAAGCAGAATGCTAGTCATATACGTGTATTATATGATGCCAACCATACCCTTACTTTCATTAAAGTACATCTAAGAATAGCTCAACATCTAAGTCTGCCCTGAGCAAGTACTCTATATAGTTACTTATCATACACAAGTGTGAAACACTATAGAAGATGTGAAAGTGTTTTTGGTTGTATGCCATTTGAAAAACATCAAAGGAAACCAAACCCACTACGCTTTCTCCTCCAAACATTTCCCTTAGTGTCTTCATCCAAAATATTAAGCAAATTTACCTCTCTTATACAGTAAAACAAACAAGGAAAACAACGTACAGCATGCTGGTCTTAAAAGCTTCATTCATAAAGTGTACTCTAGAGTGTCTGATCCTTCAAGTCTTTACTCTGGAGAGCAAGAAGGAATTTCCTCTGTTAAGAACTGTGGAATCAGGTCTTTTACCATGTTCCACAATATTACTGTACTTCCAGAGCTTAATTCCAATATTGATTAATTGGATAATTACAGACTGCTGAAGAACTATCTAGGGAGGTTTCTCTACATGTATTTTTATACAACGCAGAATATTCTTACAGGTATTTTTTTTTAATTCAACATAATTACTTAAGCTCTTTAAGGTGGCACTGCATTTCTTCTGACATGAGGCCTGTTATAAAATACATCCAGAGGCAAAAACAAAAGGCCTGCAAACTTCAGGCTGCGAGAAGGGTCTCTGGATCCAGCACTTTTCTCAGTATAAGGGAAATTAAAGAGAAAAGGCTAGGACTACTAATCCTCTTATCACACTATCCACAATCATGATAGTATTCCAGCAAAGGAGCTTTCACATGGTATTTTTCTTTTGTATTTTGAGGACAGATGCAATCAGACGCTTAGCTATGGACCTAGCCTTCTCCAACCCCCATCTTCACCAATTGTGGACACAGACTGTAAATTAATGTCTTTGAACAGATGATACAAAAGGATTTAACTTATTAGAGCATGTGTGAACTTACCATCCACTCAAATATCTACACCACAGGTCATTCCCTTCTCCTACAGCTCCCCAAGGAGTTGAGTTAGAATATCAAACTCACACGCCCCATGGGCCAGTTTGAGACTGTAGGGGTCCTCATGGGCCACATCCAGATGCAGCATTGGGGCTACAACATGAGTTAATGCAGCCATCACTCACCCCCTGCTCCCAACATGCACTGACAACAGGACTCAGGGCCCCCAGATTTCCATGACAGGCCTCACCCCTGCCTACCCCGCAAGCCACATGACACAGCTCTGCAGGCCATAAGCTTGACATAAGGTTGATCACATCTCCTGCTCACAGGTTTAAAAAAATTGAAATTAAATAGTGCTTTACTTTAAACTCAGCATGCCCCCACACTGGGCCCAGAGCATGCCCAGAAGAGGCACACTAGGCATCACAGTAGTTAGATCCAGCTCACCCAACATCTGCATAGATCTGGCGCTTCAGCAGG